TAGGGTTAATTACTGACTTCTCAAGAAGCTGACAAAATTTTAATGAATTTCAGATGGTCCTAAAACTGTTGTAGTTCAAAATAACATCCTAATAAGATCTGTTTCTTTGAAGTCCAGCCTTCATTTTCTTCCCTAACTCTCCTTTATAGGAGAAGAATCTTTGTTCTGCTTATTGAAAAACATTTTTTAGATTTTAATTTCAAGATACTTGGAAATTTTCAGAGGGAGACTGATGGACTTTGATGAAAGATTTTTGTTCAAAGTTCTCTGATTGAAGGATTTTAGCTTTCCAACTACTTACAATAATAATTCTAAAATATATACTGCATATACACCACTGATTCAGAAGGAACCAGAAATATAAAAGCACGGGCAATGTTGCTAATAGCTGATGTTTGGCATTCTGTTCACTCTACAAAGAACAATCAGAAAGAGATGATACTTTGAAAAGCACCAAGATATCAGTCCAAATGAGAACTTCTAGATCATCAAGTCAAGATATGCTGTCTCAGACACACATATAAAGCTGTTTATGAATTTATTAAACTGTATGAATTAAATTAAGAGTTAAATAATCTAGAAGAATACAAGAAAAAATCAACAAAAAAATAAATCAATGGATAGTTGTGAAAAATTGACCTTACCTGGCTCTGAGGATCAATTGCTTGGAACAGGCCCTGCAATCATACATGTGATTTAATCTCTGATACACCTCTTTATACACTATGTGTCATTTTGTGTCACTACTAACATAAGTGCAGTAATACTTCCACTTTAGCCCATTTCATGTGACTGTTTTTGTGTTAGCTTATTTGAACTGCTAGAATCATGAGGCTAGCTCTCTGGTTCATGAAATTCACCTATTTTATGTATGTGCAAACCTCTGTGGCTGGGCACTTATGTGAGAGCGTATAGAGCTCTTGTAGACATGGTACCTCTGCTTCTGCACACGGCTGGCAGGTGAGCTCTCAGAAGAGCTTGTGTAGAAGCCCTGACCCCTGTGAGCTCTGTGGGCATGAATTTCAGGTTGAGAAGGACTTAGGATGGACCTAAGCCTGCTCCCAGCCCTCGACTGAAGGCCATTGAAAATTTCAGTCATATTTACTATCCATACTTTGGTTGCAGTCATCACCAAAGACAGATGGTCTGAACCTTAGCAGTTTTTTCAGCCTGAAAGTGAGATGTCTCAGGGAGACAAGTATCAGTAATGGTAGAAATGAAAAATAAATATTCAGCTTCAATGAACACATAAATCAGACCTGTTTGGGCAAGGAGTCACTAGATAGGACGGTAAATTTGGATGCTGTCATCCTGTCCAGGAGAGTCCTGTGAAGTATTGAGTAGTGGAGTGGTCTATATCTGATAGTCTAGGATGAAGAGCAACCAGAAGAGTTTGTGCAAGGTGGTGGTTGCCTGGCACTTGAGCAGATGCAGTGGCTGGCTGGATCTGCAAGCAGAAGGCTCTCCCACTGCCCTCCCTCCTCTCACACTTCCCATCTCTCTTCTCCCCTCTGTGGCTGTATGTTTTTAACCTCTCCCTGGGTCTGTTGCCCACCAGACCTTCCTGGGAGATGATCTAGCTCATGAAAAACCACCCAGATTTTTTTGCTGGATTTATTTTCTGACGTTGTAACAAATTAAACTGGATCACAGAGAAGACTGAAGTGTCACAAAGCCAGCACCAGATGTGCAGGAGCACATGGCAAGGATTGAAAGTGAAAGCAAGGAAAGATGTGGAAAAAACAGAATAGTAATTCACCATTTGGGGCAGTTCCAAGCTGCTAAATTTGTTAACCATTTCTTATGTCCTGAGATCAGAACCTAACTCTAAAGAAGAATAATTATTTGTTTGCCCAGTGATGACCTTTGTGTACATACAGGCTGAAATGTCTATGCTCTAGAGAAGTCTGATTTATTACCTATATATTAATAAAGCTCTTTGAATTTTGAATTATAATAACATGAGCTCTTTTCTTCCTACCCAGGTCATTCAAACCACAAGTCTCACAGCCCTTGTTTGTTTGGTGTAGTTTCTGCAGCATATGGATTCCCATATCTAAGGTAATATCCTTCTATGAGGTTCCCTGAGAGAGAATAATTTGCATTACAGTTAGCACAACATTAATGCTATTTGACATACTTCATAGAGACACATCCCAAGGCATTGTCATTAAACTTTGAAACGTGACAAATACATTAAAAGCAAAACAGACAATTAAAATGCTTTAAAAACAAAGTAAGAGTGCATTAGCAAACAGAAACAAATCCAAAACCTCTCCAAGTCAATTTCACAATTTAAAACCATAATGACAAGATGTTCTTTCTCCACTTAGTTTTCACTGGATCCTTGGCATTTGCAGCAGTCACAGAGCACAGACTGTCTTTAAGGCCATAATACATAATGAACTTGGACAATGAAGACACAAGACTATTTAAAGCTTGGTAAACTATTGAGTAACCTTAGGATCAGTCCTATAAAAGGCTGGAAGTCTACAGGGAAATGTCGCTGACATAATTATATTCTGGCTGACCTTAGTATGAAGTAGAATACAGACAATACCATTTCATGCTGTCTCCAGACCAAGCAGGATATCATTAGCCCAGTAAGTGAAGCATTGCAGTAATCATTCTTGTGCTAGAATTATCATTTGGTGCAAGACAAGAAGTGCTTTGCCTTATGGCTAACCTTTTGTGTCTCTCAAACTACTTGTCTTTTACCTCCCTAAAACATAATTTTTAAGCCTAAAGACAGTTTATTTCTGAATAGACAGTAGAAATGTTTAGGAAGAACCTAAAGTTGCTATGACAAAACACATTTTTAACTGCAAAATAGTTAGTAGATTCTTGCCATTTTCACAAACAGTAAGGGAAAATCAGCCCCGTCTTCTCGAGTTACACTCTGTCCCTCACTGCAATGCAGTCAGGGGAAGTAATTAGGGAGCTCCCTCAGTCAGGCCTTTTATTACAATTTATGTTATTGTAGAAGTGCCTATCAGTCAGACTGGGACTGTGCTAGATGCTGCATAGTCCCTTGTCACAAAATTACAGTGTAAGTAGATTATCATGCAACTGCACATAACCTTAAATATCAATAACACACAAAAGAAGGAAACCATCTGAATGGTCTAGAGCCTAAATGCTAAGTAGAAAAAAGTTATTAGAAGTACCCTATGAAATGAAAGAAGAATTAACCATTCACAGTCCCACTGTTGTAGAGAAGACTGAAAGTCCATCCACTGCAAACAACTGCATGCCACGGACTTCTGAACTTGCAGTCCTAGGAGCAACACAAATCCGTCTCTCACCCCGCTCTGTTTTGCACCTTGTTGATCCAGTCTCTTTGCTCTTGTTACTGTTGAAGTCAGGACCAATAAAAAAGCAAGATACTGTTTCCAAATGAAAGAAGATAAAGTCTTTAGTCTGAGATACCTAAAAATGTGTGCTAAAAGAACGATTATACAGCATCTGCCAAAGCAACATTTTTGTCTTGCTGAATTGCTTCTTACAAGAAGACATTCCATCAGTATAAACTCATTTGAATATGATACTCGTTACTATCAATGATTTTACTACCCATTAATTAGGAGCAGACACCCCCCATATACTCTTTTTGCTAGCTGTATTTGTACTTTTTTATGTTTATTTGCATGTTTTGTTTGTGAGCAAATTACAGTATATCTTTATCTTGAGGGTTATTATAGCTAATGATGTACTTACAGAAAGTGAAATTGCTATCTAAGCCATTAGAACAGCTACCTGCAAGATAAAGGCATATGTCTGGAGAGATAAAATATACTTCCGAGTTCTTGTATTCTGGGCCAGCTATTAAAGGGCTTAAGTTGGTTTTAATCAGTTCCTTCATAGGCAAATGACCATTGACAGTGTTGCACAAATCGGTCATGAAACTTAATAGGAGCATGAGGATTTCAATCAAAAGCAATAGAATATGTACAGAAGTGATGAAAGCATATGAATTACATTATCAAAGAGATTCATAGCTATTAACCTGAAAAGTCCCAAAGACAGGCTCTGGCTTAGTTGAATTGGCTGTGAGGTTGCTAACTTCTGAGGAGTGGACAATAGCATCGCTCACATGGGTGGAGTAATGTGACGCAAGATCTAGGTATCTTCTTAAGGAAAGCAGACCATGCCAACAGTGAAGGGTTTGAAAGTCACCAGGTAGTGATGCTGTGCAATAAAACATTTAGTTTTCTGAGGACTATGTTAAACTGTTCAAAATAGATGTAGTATCTGAGATGTAATATATGAAGAGTTTTCAGATAAGGCTACTGCTTTTCCACGAGAGCTTCATCCAGGCTCCACCAGGATAAATTCATGTAAATTTCGCCAGCAGTGGCATTTTCTTGCTGTTACTGGAATGGATCAGCTCTGGAAAGTGAAAAAAGTCGAAAGAAAAAATAAGATGGCATGGCAGTTGAGGAAAGAGAAAGAGTGAAGTGTTCTTACTTCTGTTAGAGCATCCCCACAAAAAGCCAGCTGCTGATGTGTCATTGGAACTAGGGGCTGTATACAATTTAGGAAGTCTTTCACAGGCAGGACCAAGGCCAAAACTTGCATTCAGATCCCTAAGCTGATTTTCAGTATAAGAACTGATACACAAAAATCAGCATGACTGCAGAAGTGGAGGCTGAAGATTTGTGATCAAAATGAAACCTTGGCAATGTCAGCTTAATTCTAGAGTAGTTCTTCCTACTGAAGCTGTGGACTCAGCTGTGGTGTAGTGTATGCGACACCAAGACTGTCCTGGGTGCTCTGAAAAGTCTTATTCAGGGGCAAGAAACTATGAGAGAGAAGATAAGGAAAAGACAATTGTTCTTCCAGTAAGTGCTCTTCACAACTTTGTGCCAGCCCCAGTCAGTACATCCAAGCCTTGATTTATATGTCTTAAAAACATTGAGCAGCTCCCAAAGCAGGCTGTGTCCCTGGAGAGGACTACATGGGTTAAGATTAAAATTCCTCAGCAATATTCAGCTGAAAGAAAAGCAGAATAGCAAGGCAGAGTGAGAAGAGACGTACAGTAGTAGACAGACTGACTGACTCCATTGGCTGCTGAATCGAGTGGGAGTGCATTTTCCCTGGTAATTGCTGGGTATCTGAGTATTTCATCTAACATGAAGGTAAGACAATTGCTTACTTAATTTGTACTGATGAAGTGAATATGGCAAGTGTAATGAATTATTAATTTATACGGAGAAATGCTTAGCTGAAAATGTATTTGGGCAGTATTGCGAGGAAGAAGAAAACTAAAAAACAACAGCTTGCACAAAAAAGCTGAGGAAAATCGATGTGATGCTCTCCTTTATTTCTTAAGCTGACTAGTGTAAAGATTGCAGAAATTTAGAGCAGCTACATGAACTAATGGAAAAAGCAGAAAAGCAAAGTAAGCTTGCTGTTGCTCCTCTTTTTTCAGGTGCTGGGGATTTTTCTGTTGCTGGAATTTTCAGGCTTCTTTTCCACTTTTTCCAGGTGACAATTTCTTTAGTAAATTACATGTTGAAGATGAAGCATATGTAATTTAACAGACAACTCTGGTACGTGACATGGGGCAGGGCTTAAAGGAGTCTTCATACATATTTCCTAGGAGAGGAGACACCATTTAGTGTCAGCCCTGCCACTGCCATAAGTGGTGACAAGAGCAAGGCATCATGGTGTGCCTTACCTCTGCCCAGAGGAGCCAGCCATGCTTTGGGAAAAGAGTACACAGCGGTGGTGTGAGCCACAGCAATGCACATCTGTGAAACACAGCGCAGCTCAGCCCAAGCCATCCCTGATCCCAGGGGGCAGGTAGCACCCTCGATGCCTCCCATAGGCAAACTGGCTGTTTGAGAGCTGTCAGGGGAAGGTCTGCTGCATGCCATGGCACACACAGCCCCTGGCAGCTCCCTGCAGATCTCCAGATGTGGTCTGACCTCTCCCTGCTTTGCAATGTGAAGCTGGTCTTTGAAGCTCGTATTATGGTTGCATAAAGTCTTTCCTGATCTTCAGGTTAAGTGACTGTATCCAGTGTCTTCTTTTCAGTGACCAGAAAGACCAAGCTGGGACTGATTTCATTATGATGCATGAGAAGCAAATCCAAGTGGTTTTAGAGGGATCCTCATCATACCCCTAGTTGTTACTGAAGGCCTGCTTTGATGCTTAGGAAAGTTTTGCACTAATGCTTATAGATGGAAATCCCTGATGATTTTCCTCTCTCTCTTTTTTTTTTTTTTTAAATGCAAAAAATACTGCTGGAGCAGCCCTTCCCCTCCAGTCCATTGCCGCTGGAATTCTTTTGGCCCTTGGTCTGAGTGCAATGGCTGTACTCAAAAACAGGTATAGATGGACACACCTTTTCTGTATTCATGACTTCATAAGCATATGCTTTTTTCCCAGTAATTAAGGAGCCGCTGTATCTTTAAAACCCCAAATCAGGTGTCAGACAAAAACCCCAGCAGAACGAGAAGGTTGAAGAACAAAGAACTCAGATGGGAAATCCTCCAATCTGTCCCAAATATGTTCCTTTTCAAAGCTATGATATTCATGGTGTAAAATAATTTGTGCACTTTTTACTTTGGTGATAATTCCAAAACAGCTCAATTGAACTGTTTGGTAAACTGAGACATTCCTCCGCTGATGCTGGTTCGTACCAGTTCTGCTGATTTTTCATTAATGGAGTTACATCTCAAAGAAAGAAAACTTGATTGCAAAGTGTTATCCTCAATGAAAACAAGTTGATGATGTTTACAGTGCAACTCTATTGATGTGCAAGACATTTGCTTTTGATTTTCCTTCTCATTTATTTTGATGTTGCATCAGTTAGGGAGGGATTAGTCAAAATTAAAGATGTGCCATGAGACAGTACTTACTGTTTTTAGAAGAAAAAGTAACCGATTTGATGTTAGATTTTATAATTTTCCTTAATGACATTGTTTACTTTGAAGAACTTCAGCAAATTCATATCAGGCTTGATTGGTCCTATTAAAAATATAAAACAAAACTGAAATTTGTCAGCAGTTTTCTCTTGGTTTCAGTTACATATTAGATTTTTGAACAAACCAGGAAGCTTATGCATCAGTCTAAAGACCTATAGATAAAATAGTTGGCTTTCTATTAACTTGGGATTTTCTTATCATATTGTGGTAATATCAAGTGTGGTTGTTCTCAGAAAACATCGTGAATGTCTCCTTTCCTTACAGCAATAGAGTGGTAGCATTGTCTTTACACTAGTAAACTATTCCTGCTTTGCATTTGGATTTTCTAAGATCTCCCTTGATTTGCACTCAGATTCGGAGACGGACTGTAGCAGTTTATGGCCAGTATGGGGGAAACCCCTGCTCTGGGGATGCCTTTGAAACAAGACCATGCACCCCGACAAGGGGATGCCCAACAGAGGATGGCTGTGGTGATCGGTTCCGGTGTTTCTCAGGTACCATCCAAGATCTTCTTCACCATTTTCTGGTCATAAAGTTAAGAAGATTACCTTGTTATCTTTGAACTTTCATAAATGTGCAATGGCTTTGCAGAACCCTTAATCTACAGATAAATTTGATTTAGGAGGATGTTTCCTTTTTTCCAGCCTCAACTATGCATGTTTTTAATTTCACCTGAAGTGTTGCAGATCTTTGCAGATAATATGCTGCAGTCCTCGTAGCCTCTTTAAGTCATTCTTCCTTACTAATTTGCCCCAGAGTACAGTTTTTTTTCATTATGAAAAGGTGATTAAGGAATGCAACCTTAGATGTGATGGTTCAAAGCTGTTTTAGGCTATATCCAAACATCTTGGAAATCACCTGGGTCATGGAAACTAATGCTCCCTAAAACAGTCCTCATATCCAAGCAGCTTCCATTACCTTCACAAAAAAGCACATTACCTCAGTAGGCAGACGTTTATCACAGAGGGACATGATAAACGTGTTTTGGTGCTACCAGAGAGATATTCAGAGTTGATCACAAGTGATAGGTTCAAAGAATGAAAACTCAGGAAATAAATCTTGAAGTCAACTGATCTATTAATATATCATAAGCCTTGAATGGCTGTGGTTCCCTCAAGTGTACTCTACACTATTTCTTTATGTCTACATTTACTGTTGTATCACAAGCCCTCCTAAGCACAGACTGTTCATCATGGGAGCGAACAAGCTAATTAATGTAGTAGATAAGTGGGACTTTTTTTTTTATTTTAGGTCATTTATTTTTAAATGAATGAACACTTCTCTTTTCCCCATGCATTTTTGTTCTGATTTAGGTCAATGCATTAGCAGATCTCTTGTGTGCAATGGAGATCAGGATTGCGAGGAAGATGGTGCAGATGAAGATCGATGTGAAGAGAAGATGACTGTATGCGATATTGATAAAACACCTCCGAATTCAGAACTTACAGGAACAGGGTAATGTTCTGTGCTAGGCTCAGTGGTACCGGTGCCAAATGCATTTACATTTTTGTTGTATTTACAAACTCTGGCTGTACAGATAGGCTTCCTGGGCCTATGGTAAAGCATTCCATATGCAAAAGCGTTCAGTAGTACAGCCTCCGTCATACCAGTGGCTCAGAGCAGCAAGGATGTACAGGCACTTTGATCTGAAGCAGAGAATAAAGCTTTTTATCTTTTTAAACATCTTCTAACATATGAAATGAAATGTCAGCCAATAACACATGATCATCAGCATGGAAAAGATGAGCCAGCAATGCTCATGCTTTTTGTTCATTGCTACCGCATTTAGTACTATGGGTCCATGTGGATTTCTGTTTATACATCCCATCTGCAACCTAGCAAAACAGTTATCTTAAGTTTCTGTAGCATAGTTGTGTCACTTGGTATGTGATATAATTCAGATATAATACAAAAAACATTTTGGAATGGATGTGCTGTTGTTTCTGAGTTGCATTCATTGCTGGAACAATAAAACTTCATAAAATCAGTTGTGATAGATATGAATGTCTTAATGTTAAGAGATATTGATATGTGTTCGTTTTTGTTGACAAATCAAGAGCAACATTTTGCTTTCTGTATTGTAACATGCTATACACACTACAGTTCTGCAGGTATAGAAGTCTATCAGTCTATCACCTTGGGTAAATCACCTCATGATCTTAATCTGCAGATACAGCATTCAGTTATAACGGCTCTGTAATTTTTGTCTCCTGTGAAATAATTTGCTACCCCTCTGTCTTAATGACCTTTCATATTTTTCTTCTTGTAGCTTTGATGTCGTTACTGGTGAGACTAGGGGCAAAGTCATTCATACAAAAAGCTTTGGAGGACAATGCAGAAAGGTCTTTAGCGGCGATGGGAGAGAATACTACAGGCTGAGTGAAAGCATTCTTGCTTATACTTTCCAGGTATGTTTCCAGTAAGCACAGCTCTATGTTTAGAGTCGTGATTAAAACTGGGAGAATGATGCAAAGCTTGTAAGGTCTCTTGGCGGGTAGGTTTCCCTAAATGCAGCTGAATGATGACTGTTCCCTCCCTGCAGTCTCTTCTTATTTTGAAACACAAACTGGTGTATATCTTGCTAAAATGAAAGGAGAAAAAATTGTAATTCCTTGGATGTGATTTCTAATCCTCTCACAGTTAGACTGAATGTAAAGCCATCTCATTACCATAAGTAGTGGCCTGAACCACCCTAAGAAATATTAAGTGCACAAGGCATTGGGGTGCTTTGTGGAGATCTTCCAGAGATATGTTTTATTTGAAGTCACTGTGTCAGACATTTGGTTTGTCTCACGTTTTTCAAAAGCACATGAAGCAATCCTTGATGTACTTTACTTCATAATGTAAATACTTAATATACAAATATATATTTTCATATATATATTTAATGCTTTTCCAATAGTGTTCGGTACTTTTTATAAAATCCAAAATGGATTCAACCTGAAAAACATATCGGATTCTTTTCATCAGAAAAGACTTGCTGTACTCTATAAGTTACAATTTTTATCGTCCTTCATGAAGCTCGTTATACAGAATTCTATCTTTCATTTTTCTAGGTTAAAATTCAGAATGATTTCAGTTATGAGTTTTTCAACAGCAGCTGGTCTTATATGAAACACACAGAGAGGTATGAAGAATCAAACAGAGGACACAGTTACTCACAGAATAAAATTCTGCAACACAGTGAAAAGGTATGTATAAGTTGTCATTGTGGGTTAGTATTTTGCATAAACATTTTCATAATTTTTTTCCAGTGCTTTTATAGTGAGATGCAAATATTTATTTTATCCAGATATTTTTGGCACAAAGTGCTTGACAGAAAAAATCCAATAAAACCTTTACAAAGAGATCACTGGTTTGGTTATCAATTAAGAAGGGTTGGCTGCTGGTTTTACTTTCCCAATTTTACCTCTTTATTAGTAATTTATTTATTTACTAGCTGTTTTCCTCCCTATTTGAGGAAGAAAAACATTGGTTTCTTCTCATAATTGATTAATCTTTTCAATTTTCTTCTAATGATTTACTGCCCTTTTTTTTATTACCTGTGTCAGTATCTTGAAGTGACAAAATTTAAATAATTCTGTGATTAAAGTTAATTTATTTTATAATACATTTTCCACTAGTAGATCTCCATTAAGAGAGAGATCAGGTGTCTTGAACAGCCAGGAGATCATAGTGCTTATGCCTTTGACTTATTTCAAATGGACCATTAGAAAAATAATTTGAGAATAACTCTCAATTATGAAGTATAAACTATATTTTGTAGCAAATAAAATCAAGTAACAAATTTATACAATTTATGTCCCCCAAGCTGACAGAGGACAAGCTCATTCTACCACACTGACAATGACATATTTTGAGACTTCGCATAAAAAAGTTCAAAAGCAACTTTGAGAGACTGAGGTGAACAATATTGTATAGGCAGACAGGATTTTATAACTCAGTGGCATCCTCAAAATGACTAGAGCCCTTTACAAAGAAAGGCTCCTCTAGACAAAACAGGGAGCAAAGACAACCCTTCTAGTGCCTCTGATTTGCTTTCAGACAAGGCTCGTTAACATGCTACTGCCACGCTTCAAGTGTTGGAAACCACCATTGTCTCTGAAGACTGATATTTTGCTTTCTTGTTTGTCCTTATACTAGCTTTCAGGTTCACAGGAGGAAAAGAAAGATGTTGCAGCAATTATAAGTAAAGTTCAAAAAGATATTTTCTAACTTCAGGGTATTCTTTTGGCATTCACCAAGTTGCTTAGACATACCTAACAGCTCTGTAAAGCTGTTGGTTAGTAGCCAATATAATGTGCATGTCATCTGGCAAGTGGGAACGACCCTGATAGTGACATGGAGCATGACTGACGTCTTTTCCTTCCTCCAGAGTAAGCAGCTGATGGTTGTTGAGAACAGTGTGGAAGTTGCTCAGTTTATTAACAACCGCCCAGACTTTCTCACCCTTGCGGAGCCCTTCTGGAAGGAACTGGCCAACCTTCCAGTCGTCTATGAGTACAACGTCTACCGAAGATTTATTGAACATTTTGGGACTCATTTCTTACACTCTGGATCTCTAGGAGGACATTACAAAGTTATTTTTTATATGGATACTGACAGAATGAAAGCAGAAGGTAGAGTACTAGAGTATTTGTTACAAGAAACAATGTGAAAAAACAAGAATAAAAATCTGTTTGCATGTTCTCCCAGATAATATCTAAAATTAAGTAAGAGACTTTTACTAGTCACCACATTCTCTTCACGGGCAAGAGAAAGAAGATTAGAAAAAGTGCTCAAACCACAATACTTAGTTCTAGATCCACATCTGTGACCTGCAGTGCTCTAGGTAGCAAAGGTTTGGTAGTTGGTTCAGGACATCATCAGGCTAAACTTGAATTCTAGTGCCAATCTAAATCTCAATATTACAGCTTGAATGTTACTTGGTGAGGAAGATTGGGTAAAACTGTGTGAAGCAGAATAAATTACAAACAGAGCAAACACCAGAGTGACAGGTATGATGGTACTCAGTGTGGAGCAGTGCTGTAGAATTAGTGACTGCTGAGAAAGGAGATGAAAGAAACAATAAACTTTTTCCAGATACACCTCCCATCTCTGAGCCTCCATCCGTAGGCTTTAGTAATGCATGGACCTTCCCACAGGATGTGCTAGTTAGTTGCCTTCTAATTTAGGCATAATGCTTTATGACATCTCAAGTCAATGGGAAACTTGGAAATGAATCCAACTCACTTTCTCTGTACAGTATCGTTAATGGATTGATTATCTGCAGGTATGAGCATAACAGACATGTATGAGTGTACCACATCAGGCTGGAATGCATTCATTGTGAAAAAGAAGAAAGTAAAGTGCTCCAAACTGGATGAACTGCTACAGACTTCTTCAGGTAAATGTTCAACAGTGAGTTGTACAGTTGTCACATCTCTATATTTCACCTCCTCCTAAACAGCTGTCAAAATGAGGAGCAAGTGTCGATAGCTTTGATGAACTCTGTCTTAACACGCTGAACCCAGAGACCAAGTAGTTGGTTTAAAAGGCTCTCCAATATTCATTGATCATTGCTCATGCTTTCCCAGTAACTAGTAATTTTCTGGACACAGTAAGTCAGGGCTGCCAAGACACCTGCAAAAACAGATACTTCTTATGTATTATTCATGTAGGACCTCTTGATCCAGGCACAGGTGGTTGATCTGCACTAATGAGTCCTTTCACTACTTGCTAGCATAGTTTTTGCATGTAGCGTTTCTATTTCCATCTGTAAATATAGCAATGCTGGTAGTTTCTGTATTTCCCATTCTGAATCTACAGGAAGCAGTGGTAATAAGATTAAAGGAGAACCCTACATAGAAGGAGGAAGCCCAGGTGCTGTTGCTGGCCTTAGTTATTTAGAGCTGAATAATCCTGCTGGGAACAGTCAGAGATACTCCTTTTGGGCCAGATCAGTGACAGACTATCCCAGAGTAATTAAACAAAAGGTAAGACTATTTTCCTGAAGCAGAGATGAGCAGATGGGATTACCTAAAGGGGAGAACTGATTAAGCTGTAGCTGGTGATTAATCAGGCTGTAGTCTGCAATCATTTTGTTTTCAGATCATTTTATAAAAAAGAAAAGCTCACAGCAAGAAAATGCCATGAAGGTAATGTGATCAGCTGCATCAGGAATCTAAGTCCTTTGGCAGGGCAATACCTACAATCTTACCAGCCTTCAGTGACTTTAGTGGAATTCTGCTTAAGAATAGAGGGTCATGCTAGCATGGGAGAAAGCCCAGATTTGAGATAGCCCCTTTCCTGAAATGCATATTGGCAGATCTGTGTGGCTTCCACTCAGCTTGCCAACTTCTATGTATCCCTGTTCTCTGTCCTTCTTCTCTCTGCATCCAGAAGTTTAGCATAACGGAAGATTCTGGAATGCAGACACTTCAAAGTTGGGCACCGCCATATTCACTGTCACCTTGTCTAAGTCCCTTCTGCGAACTGCCCACGTACTAAAGAATGGTATATACCCAAAAGATTTCTGTCAGGAAGTTTTCAATTAAATGTGAAGGCACATAATATCATAAAATAGGCAATAGAAATGCAAAATATTTTCTCTGATTGTTACCTTCAATCGCTGCTCAATGAAATACCATAATGGATTGTTTAAATGTCCATTTTTTTAGGCTGGGAATAGCTGAGTGAGAATTCAGGTTACTGTACATTGGTGGTCTGTGTTACACTTTATCTCAACTACAGTATCATAGATCAAATATGTTTAAATGTGACTAATCTACCACTAGCTTTAAAGGATGCTCTTAAGCAGAGCTGACTTTTCAGAAAAAGGCTAGTATTAAATGCTAACATAAGATTTTATCTAGCTGGCAAATTAGAGCATCTGTTGACTCCCATGTGCAGGAGCATACATCACAAATTATTTTGCACGATGAAATGTGCTTATAAACTCTTATATCCCAATTATAACTATTTAATATAAATGTTTCTCTACTGTGTGTAGCTAACACCATTATATGAGCTGGTAAAGGAAGTACCCTGCTCCTCAGTCAAAAAGCATTACCTAAAAAAAGCCGTTGAAGAATATATGGCTGAAAATGATCCCTGCAAATGTCAGCCTTGCCAGAATGGTGGCGAGGCGGCTGTGGAAGGAACTCAGTGTGTGTGTTACTGCAAGCCTTACACCTTTGGAGCAGCTTGTGAGCTGGGAACTCTTGTGCAAGATCAGCCAGGTCAGCACTCTTTAAACTTATGAGACTTTAGAAGTGGCAAAGTGTGCTCTTCTGCTTCCAGAGTCTGTTTGTCCCACCGTACAACCTGAATGAGTGGCTGATGTGCAGTGGCTGCTTGGGTCAGACGTCACTGCAGACATACAGCATGGGGAGGGTCATGCTAACCCTGAGTCTTTGCTTAACATGTCCGAACAGTACTTAACAAAGAACTGTTTTTATTGTTATTGTTAAATGCAGTGGATAATAGTAACCGCTCAAAATGCAGCCTTCTATAAATAAGTATACATACTAAATGAATGAGTATCAATAACTTTAAAAAGTTTTGCTTTTTGATTTTGTAATGAGTTGTAGCTGACAGCTGTTTTTGTGATCTGTCAGACTCTGATAACATATAGCCTCCGTGGAATTATACTTAGGTAAAAGGCAAGTTTGGGAAAGGTGAAAGATTAGATCATTGCAATCTGGAATTCTCTGGAAGGGCACAGTTTGGACCATCACTAGATTTGAACAGGCTGTGCCTTTAAACCACCTACAGAGTGGTTTAGTGTGACATATTCCCAAATGTTTCATAGATGTTGTTGATGGACACTGGAGCTGCTGGTCTTCCTGGAGTTCTTGTTCAGGGGGAAGGAAATCAAGGAGTCGAACATGCAGCAACCCCTCCCCGCATGGTGGTGGTAAGGCCTGCATAGGGGAGCAACATGAAAGCAGACCATGTGAAGATGAAGAGTTGCAGCATTTGCAGTAAGCAGAAAAAAAACTTTTGGTGCACAACTACAGGAAGATTAAAAAATTTATTTCAGAAGGGTGCATAAGCTATTGAATTCAGGGAGAAGATCATTTACTGAGCTTTCATATTTAAGTTGAAAAGAAATTAAATTCAGAAGCTGTGAATCTGGTACAAGATAAGAGTAGAAAATGGGGTAAAAACCAGTAAACTTGACACCATTCTGTTTAGCACTCTCTCAGATAGCCTGGCAGTGCCTGATTTAAGTGATGTAAAGGGAACACATAATAGTCTTGAAAATGGGCTTCACTGAGACATGTAGGATTTTGAAAGGAAGGGAGACTAAATTCAAACTAAACCATACTTTTTTTTTGCTTCATAGCTTGATTGAACCACACTGTTTTGATTTATCCATAACTCCTACAGAATTCTGTTCACCTCCTCCTCTCTTGGAAAATGGATTTGTTCAAGTAAGTTATTTCTATTACTCTACCTGCAGTGTCTCTATTACGGTTAATACAGATAGTCACTTGAAAATTTATATTTATCTTGGTAAGCTTGGTATCAGAGATACTGTATTGCAGCTTGCTCAATATTTCTCCCTGGCTGAAGTCTACAAGACATTAGCCAAGATTTCTTACTAAAAATGAAAGAAAACCAAAAAAGCCCCACCTGCAAAACCAGAGCAAAATCTTTGCTTTTCTGGACTACAGTACCTACAGAGAAAAATAATCTACTTGTCCTTTACCCTATACACGTATTAAAATTTTTCTAAACCACATAATTTACGTATTAAAGTACAGGAAACTAGAGAAAAAACAGCACAGAAAGTAAACTGTCCAAGGTCATCCGGGAAGTTCATAACAAAATTATAAACAGATTTTAGGAATCTTCACTCTACACCCTGTAACTCACCAATGCACTTTCTTGTTCCCTGGTGAAACTGATCTGGCAAGATATTTGACTGACTATAACTTGGGCATATTCAACAAGGAAGACTAAATTCCTCCGCTGGAGGGTTGGATTATGCCTTCTCCATGTTACAAGGCTGTCTAGAGCCTTTTGCTCAATAAATAGATAAAAGGATTAGTTCAAAATCCATTAGTTGCCTATTCACAACTGCAACCTGAGCTAAGATCCAAAATTTTGTGCTTCTTCTTTTGCCAGTGATTTTTTGGGGGGCAATCAATAGTTGTCTGCTATATTGATATTTTTGGTTCACATGCTAAAGGTAAAACCCTGCAATTTGTGGAGTAGTCTCAATTTTTCATAAGATCTGTCCTTAGAAGAGAGTGGGATATAAAATGAGAAAATACCTGTGTCTTCAAGTCCAGCTCTTTTGAGTGACCATATCACATTAACCTTTAGCAAGCTGATAACATACCACCCTAACAATTAGCAAAGCCATATGTTCTCCACTGATCCCACGGAAGGCTGTTTAAGAGCTTATGTTCCCCCTCTAATGCTTGATAACAGCCATATTTGCAGTCAGTTTATACACTGGCAGGATAACACTGTTCCATCACTGAGGTACCACTGCCAGACCTCTGTCACAGGGTACCTTCCATTCTAACCCTCCCTTTGCTAAGGTAAGATTGCCCAAATATTTTGTATTCTATCAACTTATTTGCAGCATCCTCTCCACTTTGATCACATTTACTGACTATTGATAACTGGAATTGCCCCTAGTATTCCAGACACTCTCATCAGTGCATTGTAGAGTGGCATTAATTCTTCTCAATGTCCTCAGCTACTGCATCCCAGAATCAAAGGGACTTCAATGCTGCTGGTGGTTCTTAGATTGTATATCTAAAATCTCACCTGTTCCTTTTCTTTCAGAATGCTGAAAATGCATACCCTGTTGGGAAAAGCATTGTTTATGCTTGCAGACATGGATATTCTCTTGTTGGTGATCCTGTTGCGAAGTGTGGCAGTAATTTACAGTGGCAAGTTGGAGACAGATACTGTAAGGGTATGTCTGATTCTTGTTTTGAAATACAGCTCCATTCCTGAATTCCAGTGAAACATCTCTGAACATCTGCTTTCCAACAACAATGTGGCTAAAGTACACACCTGCATTTCCCAGTTCCCTAGACATAATCAGGTCTAAATTGACTTTTATTTTGAATCCAGATATTGTAATACTGAAATAGAAACATGCCCGTAAAGTCTGGTTTTAAGGAATGCTCTAGGCGAGGGAGACTAAATTCCAAGCCAGGAATTACTTCTTGTGAAAACAAACTTTGTTGCTTAATTCAGTACTGTGGCTGTATCCAAGAGCCAATGCAATGAGTCTATGTCTAAAGTCAGCTGAGGAAAAGGTCCAGTGGGCAGCATTGGGCAACCACAAAGTTCTCAAATAACCACCTTGTCGTAAGAACACAACTCCAAGGATCACTTTACATCTTGGATGGTCTCCCCACTTCACTCTTTTCCTCCAATTTGGTCAGTAACCATTAGGGTTTCTTTTTTTCCCTGAACAGTTTATTTGTGAGTCAACTTTTAGTGTGACCATACAAACTTGGGAATTTTCAGACCTGCAGTTCAACACCATCCTTTCCTCCTTCCAACCTGGACTGACTGCCCACAAATGCTAGTCCACACTGTTTAAATACCATCTATTTGTATATCAGTACATCGTATCCCAGGGTCCTGTATGCATGACCTCTCTCTACTAGGATGTTACTCTATAGGATGAACCCTCAACAGAAGTGTGGGTCCTAAGAACAGAGAAGCCCTCTTCAAGCTAGGATTGGACCTGCAGGCAGCAGGAGAAGATATTGTCACTCTGTCCTTGGTATTGCACATCTTTGGCTGGTGTGAGGAGTTAGTATCCTGTGCTAACATGATTGATATGTTTCTACAGGAAAATCAGCTAATCTTACCATTCAATTTGTTAAGGAATTTAGGAGAAGATAAAACATTGTTTTCTGCAATCCACTGATTCACTGTGGCTATCTTGAATGCTTCAATTCTTAGAAACCTCTTGTCTCTTGCCTGTCCTGGAGGGGGGTTTGCAAGGAGAGCCATGGAAACCTCTGTATGAGATCGGTGAGAGAATAACTCTGTCTTGTCCACACGGCATGCTCTTAGAAGGGGCACGCTCCATTTTGTGTGAGCCCAGTCTCAAGTGGTCTCCTGACATGAAGACCATCCAGTGCACGAGATCAACAGGTAAGCCATTGCAGTCCTCCAAGTGCAGTACAGGAGTTTCTTTCCTGGACAGACTATTCCCCTCTGCAGCAACACAAGATCATGCCTGCTGTCTGTATTGCAACGCACTGCAACTCTTTTTTTTTTTTTTCCTTCTCTGGCAATTTCTGCCTATGTATTTTGCTTAGCAAGTCTTAATTTGTAAGGGAGAATTTTTTTGTTTTTTAAAAGGCAACAATGTTCAGGGGTATTAAATTTTCATATTAAAGTAGAAAACTACAGACATGTAATCTAAAACACAAATCAGGATAAAACTCAGAAAGGGTGTCTGTATGGATTTAGCAAAGTCTTGCCATTGCTTGCTACAAAAATCTCCAGAGGAAAGTTTAGCAAAGGCCTATTTTGTTTTCAAGCTTGGAATACAACTCAACACTCAAAGAATAGTACATGTGCGATGATGAAAATTCCCCAAGAATCACTATTGTGATTATTTTTAAAGTTAGTGCAGTTTGAGGACTAATGATGGAACTTGTAATTTTCATTACCCTCAGTGTATAAAGACATTCAGGTTCACATTTCTACATAGGACTTTGAAGCCTTAGCTTTTCTCGTGACAATAGAGGAACCAGTAACTCTGAAACCTAATGGTAAAGTTGTTGCCAGCTATGATTCAGCACTGCCAAGTTTAGCAGACACAAACAGCCAGCTGCCTCAGAAATGAGATGAATGTTTAAGCTTGAACATAGTACCTGTCTCCTTCCATCTGATTCATGATCCATGGATAAATTACTGAACAGTAACTTTGCAAAGTGTATCATATCTTTTTAATAGTGTTGATTCCTTCCATGCACTAGATACTTTTAATGAACACGCAGGATGTGACTTTCTGTCAGGCTTGTATAATTTAGTGCCTTTTAAGCTAAACTGGTAGCATAACTTCAAACTAGACCTTTAACAGCCTTGTTTTTCTGACCCTTAATAGCACTGTCTGTGTTCTGCTTCAGTGCCCAGTGTGAAACCAGAAGTGACAGAGCCTAAATGTCAGCCATGGGAGAAAGTACATCAGTCACAATGTGTGTGCAAAATGCCCTATGAATGTGGGTAAGTTCAGGCTGAATTTGGCAATGACTTTCTCACTTTATTCAAGACCAATTAAATTCCTTAAGTCTTCAGTCCATGACAGATGAGAAAGCTTTACTCATATGAGAAGGAGGCATTGTACTTTGTTTGCTTTACAGCTCAATCAATGTCCTGTTCATCACTTACCTGCCTTGTCAGAGCTGTCAGTGGGTTTTAGCACTGATGGAATTTGGTTGGATGACAGAAGGTGAAAGCATAATTTCAGCTCCACTTGATCTGTGAAATAGATGGAAAAAGATAAAATGGTATTTTGAAGATTTAGAAGATTGAGGAAAAGTTAGAACAGAGGCCCTTGGGACATAAACCATCAAACCAGTAAGCTAGTGAAATAAAGCAGATTTCTTTTCCCTGCTCAGAGACTGGAGAGTTATGAAAGGCACAATAATCTAACCTCCCCTTTACACAGCAGTTTGCACAGACCACGTCACCTTTCCTGACCTCATAACTTACAGACCAGAGTTTATTGTTTCCAGTTTGATCTAAGCCTATATTCTACAATAAGCAATACTAGAGAAGTGTAAGGAAATTAGTAACTCTCTCAGTTCTTTGCTAAACATGAAGGTAACAGAACCAAAACAGAGGAGTAACAAAAAGACACCTGAGATCACCTGGCACTGACAGCCAGATGTGCCAAACTGCTCAGCACTCCAACATCTGGACTGGTTTGCATAGACTGGATGAAGTCTCTTATAAAGTCATCACACTGAGTGTGAACTCTGCATATGAAATCTGGCCAGGTTTATGTCGCAGCAGGAGCTGAGACATTTGGAAACTCCATCATAACAGATCAAATTTGTCTTGTCCTTGTGTAGTAGGAGGAAGAAATTTTGAAGTCGACTCAAGTGATTTCAAGGTAACAGAACTTCACAGTGGAGGATGTCTACTTTCCATCAGCCACATAGTTCATGAGTGGCCTACATGGTGACTCTGGTTCTACGCCAAAATTAACACACTTTTAATATCTCAAAATTAAAATTGGTGAGCTTAGTTCAGGTTTAGTAGATTCACTGGGCACTTCCTAGTGTATGAGGCCTTTGCCTTGCATGTGAAGGTAAATGCCAGGTTTCTAACAACTCTGCTAAGACCCTGTTCCTTTCCTTAAACACCTAAATATTTTAAATTTTCTGGTCCTACTCTTTTTGTCTCAATACTCATTAAAGTGACGCAACAACCCCTCCTCTGGTTCATGGGTGTGTTGAGGTTAGTTACATAGAAGATGAGGGGAGTCCACAATGCTAGGAAAAGCCTTGGGCAGAGTCACAATAACCTTGGAAGTTAAATGAATTACATTCAGTTATGCATTCAGGCTTCAGTTATAATTAATCTACTACTTGCCTGTTTCTATTTTTTATAATTATGTTCAAAATGGCAGGAAGATAGATAACGGTCATTTCTGTTACCTGATGCCATCTTTTCACTCTGTCTTGAAATAACACATCTAATAATAGAAGGATAAATCATCAGACTAATTTGTGAGCATGTTAAGGCTGTGGGAATAAGACATGTAAGCAGATCTTCATGCTTCCTCAGAGAGCAGAAGCAACTTGATTTGCTTTGCTGTAGCAGTGACTTTCAGCAGCAGCCTCTGCTTGGAAGAAAGCTGGGAACAAGAGTTTACGTGGGAATTCAGGAATACCATGGTTTCAGACCCATCCTACATCCTTTCAGTTTCCAAGAAACTAGCAACCAAGACTTCCCAGGACAGCACGAGAACCCCACAACAGGCTGGTGAGGGGTAATTTGTCCCTCATAACATGGTGCCTTAGGCTAAATCAGTCCTCATTAGTTAGAGCAATGGAATGATGCTGGGCACTAGAGCTGCTAAATTGCTAAAGCAGCTCCTGGTAGAGCTTTGGCAAGGGCTAACTCCTGGATAATTCCCAGGCACAGTGCAGGAATTACAAGGGTCAGGGACCATTCCCGTCTGATGCAGTCCCCATTTTTGGGGGACAAAGAGAGTTTAACAGTATGGACACCAGCTATTCTATGTGAATTGGCATTAGTGCAAGGAAGGGCTCAGAGCACAGTTAGTGTGTTAATACAGATGAAATCTTAGCCTCCAGTAGCTCCACAATAAAACATGAGATTTGATAATTTTTAAGTACTATCCCCTCTTTTTTCCCTCAAATTTATTTGCATAGCATCTATGTCTCACCTAAGAGTTCTTGGCCAGTGTTATATTAAAACTTATGGTCTTGATTATGATTTTAACTTCTTAAAATTATTTCCAGCATGCTGAATTTTTCACTTTTTAGTTTCACTGAAAATTGCCTGCCTGTCATTGTAGGTGAAAGGGAGAGAAGGTATTTGCTGACATACATATGCTATTTCATTTCTCACAATATGTGCTTTAGTAAAATCTTGTTCTTTTCCAAGCCTTCTTTTTCAGGTAAAAGGTACTGAATTTCTCATATTCACTTTACACAAGGATTCTTCCTTGCCTCTAATAATGTGATGCTTCCAGCCCTGTAATATTCTTTCTCAGCAATGAGTGCAAATTATTAATTTCTCTTACAAGTACAGATTCTCCATTCTTTTTCTTATGCATCTGAACATATCAATTTCCACTGGGTTTCTCCCAACTGAACTAGCTATAGCAAGTATGTGACACACTCTCAAGACAGTTTGAGGGATTATACTATAGCAAGAGATTGGCAACATGGAGCATGAACTCCCTCGGTTCAACCTTTGGCAGCTGATAAAATCAGCTTCCTTCCCCTCTTCTGCCAAAGTAGTGCAAAGGAGACAGATTAGTGCACTTGTGTCTGGCCTTAATCTTTTCAGCTAAATTAAGATGTCTTGTGTACAAGATTTTGACCTTAAGACTCAGATATTGAGGTTTATCACTCAGGCAAATAAAGAAGGCCTCTGAACAATTTTAAATGTAATGAACAAGTTAATTACAGATTAGATGCTTTCTCTGGATCGCACTTTGTTCTTCCAAATTTAAGATGATATTTAAAGATGAAGTTTTTCTTACACCTCTGTCTGTAAAGATAACTTTCACATTATAAATCAGCGCACCACTAACTCATAGTCTGTGCAGCCAGATGAACAAACAATATAATGCAGGCAAATGCACAGGCTTCCTTTATCAGCTGCTTGGTGCTGTGTATTCGCTGGGCTGTCCTCTTGCTGTGTCCTTTTGTTGTCCTCAGAATAAGAGGGTTAACATCATTCTTTATGTTAACAGAAGAGCATTAAGGAAAATTCAGGTAACAAACTTAGCTAGGGATTTAGTGGCTGGTATTTTGACTAAGCACAGCAGTTAAGGGACCCATTGCAGTTGAGGATGCTAACTCAAGTAGGAGATGTTAATATAGTTAATAATCTTTGAAGACATATTTGGTTGCAGGTAGATGCAGCAACATTTTCAGGCTCAGCTAATGAACTCTGTGCCAAATTTTAAATGTCTTAAAAGTGTACTATGTTACAGGTAGTTTAAACTTTGTGTAAAGCCAGCTCTTTTAAGAGGCTTCAAAACCATCTCTCAAAGACCATTCCCAAAGCTTGGAGGCTTGGAGCAGGGACTTTTCCTCAGTGCCTTATTTATAGATCTACCAAAAGCCACTTCCTAATTCCCAGGTGAAAAAAAAAAACAAGGAAAAAAAAAATAAAAATTACCTTAACCCTTGGCCAGCAAGTGAGAAAGGTTTGAGTCAGGACTTTCTTATTAGCTCTTCCAGATTCCCCTTTGCTATCCTGACAAGCCACTTTCACAGGCACTTTTACCCTTCCCTTCAGGCAGCCTTGCAAAGCTCACTAGGGCCATTTGCCTGTTCCTCCTCAGCTTCTCCTCACTGCCAAACACCTGTTTAGCTGAGGTTGACCCTCAGAACTGACCCATTAGACACTAGAAGTTTCTGTGTGAGTGATTGTGAGCTCAAAAGGAGGAGCTGTGCTGAAAATAAGCCTTTGGCACCATATTTCAAAGCTCTCCATCCCCTGGGAGCAGATCTCTGCTCTCTCATACCCTGTGCAGCACCTTACCTGTGACTGTAAAGGGCATCCAGGAGAGCACAGGCATGCCCTGCTCCCAAGAGGCACTTTTTTTTTTCAATCCACACAGAATGCCACTGATTTCATTGACAACAAGTGGAGAAGCTTGGGGTTTGAGATTAAAATCCAGAAATACTGGAAAGGCTTTTTCCTCCCCTCCTATGCTTACAGCATGAAACACAAATGATGATGACTTCCTGGAACTGTCCCCAAAGCAAACACTCTTCAAAATTGTCCAAGAATTGTTATTACCACTTTTACAAGCTAATTTTTGTGGGTATCAGAACAATATCTGAATTTCAAGAAATAAACAAGTAAATTCCCTGGATAAATACAGAAGATTTTTCATAAGGTTTCTGTGGAGATGTATGAGTACTTCTAGAAATATCTTTGGTCTCTGATGTTGGATCATAACATTTTGTTTGGTAAAAGCTGAGGCTTTTAAAGACAGCAAAGAAAACGTCTTTAAGTATATTCTAATGCCTTATAGTTAAGAAATACTTATAAAATATTTTAAGATATGTGCATTTGTGTATGTATCATTATGGGTATATGAAATGTTTTCTGTATATATACTTAGGTGCATGCATGAGTAATATATTAAAGAATAATTGAGATCTGAATTCTTTTTAACTAGAGTCTCACTCTTACTGCTATGAGGTCAATGGCAAGTACCCAGTAATATCCCTGTCCTTCAGAGGGGACAGATCCTGGCTCTGCTGAGGTGCAGCATCCTGTGGAAAAGGAAGGAGCCTGAACTGTTCACATGTCTATGTCTCGAGTTCCCTTGCTGCACTCTTAGATTGTCCTTCAATGAACAGGAAAATTGGAACTGGACCCTGAATGTTTTTCACTCCCTCAGGTCTTTTTAAGAGGTGCCAAGATAAAGCACTTTTAAATAGCGTGATCTGTGCTTTTGTTTTCAGTCCTTCCCTGGACACCTGTGCTACAGATCAAAGAACCAAAAGAAACACACCTTTAACTGTTTGCAAGATGCATGCCTTGGAGTGCATGGGAAGAAAATATTCTCTTACTAATGCAGAAAACTGCAAAATACCTCAGGCAGCTGAAATATCATGTGGATCGTGCCGTCCGTGGGAAAAATGTGATGGTAAGAGATTCTTCACAATTGTAAGCAAAATTGTTTACATGACCAAAATGAAATCTTTATCCCCAGTTACGCATTATCTGTAGCTGGTATGGTATCTCCAGACCCTTCCAGAAGCACCAGGCACTGCTAAGCTGCTCCAAACCATCAGCCCAATGTTTGATGTCCAAACATGGCAGAAAGATCCAACCACAGGATATCATAAAAAAATACACTATCTACAGGAAAAGCTTATTTCTGGTCCCTGTTAATTGAGTTACACTGTTGGTCCTCTGGAACTTTTGGGTGAAACCCTTGCCCTACTCTTTTTTCATTGTATTCACCTGTTTTAAATTCCTTAACACTGTAACTGTGGGAGTCCTTACTGCCCACAGGACCGGCTAAACCTTTCCTGAAATTTGCAGAGCAGTCTCCCCAGCAGTATCTTGCAAGAAGGAACTGAATGTCTTATTCTATACTGTCTAGGAAAGACACTGACTTTTGTTTGTACTTTGCTGCCTATCCTCAGTTTCTCATATTATGAGCAAAGAGGAAATAGTCCCAGTCTTTTGCAATCTGTCTGCAGTGGAAGTTTTCAGATTCCCTGATCTAATTTCCCCGAGTGTCCTACACTGCATTGCATTTAATGGAGGGTTGCCAGAAATGAGAAGATAAAGAAATAAATTAGGTTTTTAGAAGTGCCCCAGATAGAGGCACAGTTATTGTTGTATTTTGAAAATAGAAAAGATTACTTGATAGGAGTTCATCTGTTTTGTGTAACAGGGTTGAACAGACAAAAATAATAAGAAAAAAAGATAATCAAAACTGGCTGAAGCTTCAGAAGAGACAAACACAGGCATAAAAAAATAAACATACAAGACCAAAACAAAGACACAGTTATCAGAAATAAATCTCAGGTGGGACCTTCTTCTTATCTGATTGTTTAGCTGCTGTCACTGATACAACTACGCGCATTTATTTGTAGGAGTAGGTCCTTTGATCTTAGTGAAACTGGCTGTATGTAAAAAAGGCAGTTGTAAGCGTCTGCATAATCAGTTTGTTACTGTCCAAGGACAGATCTGTGTTCTTACATGTTATCTGGACTCTGGAGCAGTAGATGCACGGACTTGTTCAAGCAGTAACATCAGAGAAGTCTTTGAGAGCAATATCTCAGGCACCTTGAGCATTTTCCCACAAGCGCAATCAGCCTGTTTGAGGAGAGGACGCCCCAGTAGTGCACCACTCATTTCCACTTCTAGTTTTTCCGCTGAATCTGAATATCAGCTAATGTTACTTCTGGTTAGGAAAAGAATCATAGAATCATATAATGTTTTGGGTTGGAAGGGACCTGTAAAGGTCATCTAGTCCAATAAGTAGGGACATCTTCAACTAGATCAGGTTGCTCAGAGCCCTGTCCAACCTGACCTTGAATGTTACCAGGAAAGGGGGCATCTACCACCTCTCTGGGCAACCTCTTCCAGTGTTTCACAACCCTCACTGTAAAAAATTTCTTCCTTATATCTAGTCTGAATCTGCTCTCCTCTAGTTTAAAACCATTACGCCTTGTCCTATCACTACAAGTCCTACTAAAAAGTCTGTCTCCATCTTTTTTATAAGCCCCCTTTAATTACTGACACACTGCAATAAGGTCTTCCTGGAGCCTTCTGTTCTCCAGGCTGAACAACGCCAACTCTCTCAGCCTGTCCTCGTAGGAGAGGTGCTCCAGCCCTCTGATCATTTTTGTGGCCCTCCTCTGGACTCGCTCCAACAGGTCCATATCTTTCCTGTGCTAAGCACCCTCCAGAAAATTGCTGTCAATCCTACAGTTTTGCTGGAAACGTTTTAGTCTGGGTTTTGTTGAGTCGGATACGATCCTGAGTGTTTTTCACATCCCTCTGTGCTTTTGCTTAGTGCAATCCAACAGCTGTGTTTGCAATGAAGATGGGCCATGCGAGGAGGGAGGCATCCGGATCTGTGCTGCAGTGAGCGGCTCTGCTGCCCATCGGACCATGACTGAGTGCGAGGCTGGGAGGCTCAAGTGCCAAGGGCAGACTGTCACCCTTGTCAGCATAAGGCCCTGCGACATACAGAGCAAATAAGATATGTTACAGTTCATTTTGCTTATTGCCATGGGGTATGTCAAAATGTGTCAACTCTTGGGAAGGACATACTTCGAAACTTGCTCTACCAAATGTAAGCTCTGCTGTGAAGTCCACTGCAGCTGATGAGATGGTGTGCATCAGCTCTGGTCAGCTCTGAATCAGGGCCTGAGGCTTTTCGTTAGACAGAGCTGCACTCACTGCTACTGATCATGACAGTGCTCTTACGCCCCAGACTTAGCACTGGCAAGTTTACTTCACATTTTCATCAGAATTAAAAAATATTGCTGAAGTGCAATTGCCAAAGTAGCATTTATAGTGATGGATTACAGTGTCTGACCTTGTAAATACATTTTTCTTAAAGCCACACAAATATATGCATACACTGAGTAGATTTAGATTGAAAAACAAACAAACAAAAGCTTTACAGAGTAAGAGGAATGATTCTTCTCTTTTCATAAAGTGGTTTCTTACTGTGCCTTATCCAGAAAAGCAAACAGTATGCACAGCACTGAACCTGTCGTTGAGCCTGGAGCTCTTGAAGGTCAAAACAAAGTGCATTAATAGTAAAGCCAGCTTAAAATAATGAGAAGACTTCTATGCTTGCAGCTTCTCGTACACAGAACCGCTTCATGAAACATCACAATTTTACATTATCATAAGTATCACCATGAGCTACATTTGTAAGTGCAGGTAACTCAGTCGCATTTGTCACATGCATTTATGTTTGTGCCAAGACAAGTTTGCTTATGAACCATTGCATATAGAGGCCTTCCACCACAGCCAACCTTCCTCAAAGGCAGCTACTAGGGAAAGTGTATCTTCACAGAAATGGAGACACTTCGCATGCAGTCCCCCTGAAGATACATACCTTTGGACAATCTCCTAAGATTGTTCCTGAGTAAAAGGAGTCTCTCACACT